TACACATACATACGCACACACATACACACACACACATGCGAAAACACCTGTTCTTCTCACTGGGTTGTCGCCCCCCGCCCCCTGCCCCCACCCCTCCCTCCTGTGTTTGTCCGCGCCAAAAGCCACAGCCCCGACAGATCCGGATTGTGGCTGGGCGGCATGCCAAGTCGCCTCCCATTCCACCGGGGGATGTCCAGGCACAAGGCGGGTGGTCAAGGGCCGAGGAGCTGGTGAGGGGCTTTGGACAGTTGCAGGTATTTCTTGCAGGTCCAAGGAGACGGTTGATAGCATGCGTGCTGCGGGGAAACGGCAGTCTTGAGAATTCCCTGACATTTGAAGTAGGGATCTCCCTTTGCCGCAGACCGAGATGGGACCTTGACCAGTCCTGGTGCTCAGGCTGGTTGTTTTGGAAAAAGGGTCCGCTGGAACCAAAGCAAGGCGCTCTTTCATGGACGCCGGGCTGGTTTTGTCTCATACATCACGCCCCGCATGAAAAATCTGCGGGGGTGAGTGCAATCCGAAGCTTAGTCCTCGGGTTTTTTGGGTCTCCGAGTTGGATCTTCCGATTTTTCCCCTCGCCCCCGTGATTGTTCCCTGGCGGCCTGCGAAGGTGTATGTTGATTTTTCCCAGAAGGGGTGTTCGGGGGGGGGGCCGGCTGCGGGGGTGGTGATATGGGTTTGCCTTAGACATAGGTCGCCCCCAACAAACCCAACTTGCGGCTTTCCCCATTTCATTTCCCAGGGCTCCTGAAAAGATCTCCATCTTGCCTTTGAAACCTGGCGCCTTTTCCAACAGAGTAGGGTTGGACACCTCCATTTACAAGTTGCAATGTTCAGGCGTATAGTGTAATGATGCCTGTTTCCCACTTCAAATCTCCAACAGGGGTTGCCCTCAACAAAGACCCTCAGATCCCCTGCTAAAAGTGACTAACTTTTAGTGGGTTAAATGGAAATCCCCACTAAACACTAGGCAAAAAACAACGACTGGGTGGCTGGGAACCACCAAGGTTTCGGATCAACGCTCCGGGTCGGTTTTTTCCACCGGGCCGCACCCATTCAAGTGGAACCATTGGTCCCAACTCGAAGCCGGGAGGCGACATGGCCCAAGTTTTTGAGGACCCGCCACGCAGAAACCTGAACTTCCGGTGTGCAGACCGCTTTGGACATTTCAGATCCCGTGGGAGGAAAGATGTGAAGCGGCACCCTTTGCTGGTAGTTGGCCAGGAAAATGCCCTCGCAAAGGAAAGGAAAACACCGAAGGTCGGCGAAAGTGGAAGGACATATATACGTCATTCCTCTAGGTTCAAGTAGTAGAAATGCCACCCCTCCCCCTAAAAAAAAAGGGACGCAAAAAATGGGACCCCTCCCCTCCCCCGAAAAAAAATGGTATCTTCTTTCAGGGACCCCGCCCCCCCCAAAAAAAGTGATTTTGTTTTTGGTTTCCCTTTAACACCCACCAAGAAGGAACGCAAAAAAAGGGACGCACCCGAAATGATAGCAACGAATAACTGGCTGTCAGCCCACATACCGTGACTTCACCGAAGCAACCGGCCAGTGCTGGACCGGCTGGCCACCAATGTTCCACGTGTTTCTGGCATTCGTACCACTTCCACTACTTTACCTCGACCATTGCTCCACCAGTTGTGTGCCTTTGCGCTCATGTGCGCAAGTAGGAGCCCTGCGATCGGGCCCAAATGAGTTCATGGGGCTGCGCCCTTTCAACCAAACTGGATTCTCTAAGCCATGTTTCGGTCATGTAAGTTCAAGACAGATGCGACTGTCAATGTTGTGCATATGTAGCCGGAGCCTCCAAGAAACGGTGCAAACCCCTGTGGCTCTCCCCAGACTAAACCTACACTTGCCTAGCTTCACTGTTCTTGGCAAGTGTTTGTTTTTGTTTTCTGTTTTTGGTTCTGTCTATCATTGTTAGTAGGGCTGCAAGAAGCTTGTTTTTTGGTACCATACCGAGGGTTGCGAAGCTAGAAAGTCAAGGTGTAGACCCGGATTCTCTTCCAAGCAAAGGCGAAGGTGATGGCCGGTACACTCAACATCACCCTGACACTTTGCGCGCCTCGATGAGTCAAAGGTGCCTTGTTTTTTTCTAGCGGTTGTTAACCCATCGTTTCAGTGTTGAAAGCACACTAAGAAGAAACTCCATGTTTGGGAATTGCTTTATTTCTTGAACCCCGCCTTATGCTTCACCGCAAGCTCCTCCCACCTGTTTTTGGCGGGTCTTGCCTTTCCTTGACAGGTAAAGCGTGTCTTGCGGTCCGTGCGTGGGGGGCCTCAGTGAGAGTCACCTATCACCCCGCGGAAAGGCGTCAAGTCTGGTTTCTATTCTCTTGCCGGACGGTACCCTTTTAACGGATTTTTTTCTGGGCCGTCTCTTGGACGGCACCTTTTTTGGACACCGAAAGGACGCCCACCGGTTTGGTGAACCCCCCTTGCTTTCAGAGTCAGTGACCTTTGTCTGATGGGAGCCGGCGCAACCTCAGGCCGGGAGGTTGGGATCTGAAGGGCCGAGCTTTTTCTTCGGAGCCGAGCCCGCCATGCGGTTGGGGCGGTTTTGTGGAAGAGTTTAGAGGCGTTTTTTTCCAGGGCTGTGGGAAGTGGAATCCATTTCTGTGATACAACAAGGGCTTCCCAAAGAGTTTGAATTCACCTTTGAGAGAGTTTGAATCGCTTTTTGCTTTGGTGCATGTTGCCAAGGGATGTTAGGACTCTAACAACTGTTTGCCAACTAAGGAAAGGGTTTTCCGTAATCCAACCGCTAAAAGTTAAGAGGGGAGCAGAAAGCAACCAAGTTTAGGACGCCCAGCGAAAGCCAGCAAACAGAGGGGGGCACCCATGAAAGTCGCTTCATGGACCCTGAGCTCGCGTGCTACAACAGGTCTAGGGTTCATAGGTAAGAAAAAACACATGCTTGGATTCTTGGTGGTTCCCAGCTGTCCCCTTTAGGTTGTTATGTTCTTCTTTTGTGGTTTAGTGGTAGTTTCCATTCAACCACTTGCGGACAGCCCAGGCATGTTCCGCCGACGCCGGGTAAGTAGGGTAGAACTGAGGTTATAACCGACTAAGTTGATTGAAATGACTTTGTCCATGGGGAACTGTTTGCAGCCATCTTGACTGCTATTGCTTCACTGTTCTTGGCATGTTTTTTGGTTTTTTAGTTTTTTGGTTCTGTTCGTTTTTACTGGGGGTCTGCAAAAAACAACGTTTTTCGCTACCATACCAAGAGTAGAGATGATTGGGCAACATATCTTTAGACTCTAACTTTTTGGTTGGAATCGAATTGGGTTTTCGCAGAGGGCTCCTTCCAGAGGGCTCGTTCCAGAGGGCTCCCAGCAACCAAGCTAATGCGCTAATGCCTGCAACCATGCAAGCATGAAAATCCTTAGCAGAGGCCTATCCTGAAAATTTCCAATTATCAGTCCTACCACTTTTTTCTCCCAGAGACATGTGGGTTTGTCTCGAAGTTCTCATTTTTTTTCTCCCCTTCCGAGGGTTAAGAGGTGTTGCGTCTCTCTTTTTTTTTCCTCTCTTGAAGCCCAAACCCTGGAAAAATGGGTTCCGAAAAAAGAAGGTCAACAGTTGTAAACCTGTCTCAACTGTCGGTTGGCTTGGGCTTTTATTTGAGAAAAGACATTGGGTTTGCATTGGGTTACGTGATCTTTCTGATCTGCATCCACACTAGGGGTTGATTCCCAACTTTTCAAAAACTGGATCCGTTTCCCCTGGGGTTCTGATGGTTTTCTGGAAAGATCCGGATCCCTGGAAAGAATGGAATTGGAAGTGTCCCCTAGATTTGTGGTCGGGTTGCCTTTGGCTCAACGCTAAAGAGCCTTCAAGAAAGAATCCCACCCATGTAGCAGTACATAGCTTTGTTAGCTCAACAAGTGGGGGGCTTTAAGCGTTGCGCTTTCAGAGGTACATTCAACACCAATGACACGTTGAGCTTCAAGAAGCGTCCCCGATCGATCCACGCGATCGCTCGATCCATCCTGCGCGTTCCGATTGCCGGACTCGTGAGCGAAAGATTTCCCGCGAGCGAGGCGACTATATCCAGGACTTCTTCATGTCGGCAAGCTGCGCGGCTGCAAGTGGGTTGGTCTCTCACCCTGAAAACGGGAGAAGGGTTTTCCCTGGCGTCGTTTTCTTCTTCTTCTGTTTTTTTGTTTCTTTGTTTCCGGTTTATGCTGGTTTGTCATGGCATTTTCTGGTTTTTGGCCGTCCTTTTCTCGTTCCTTGGCGCCGTATTTTGCTGGTGCTCAGCTGGGAATAAGAAATGGCCCAAGCCGGTTCTAACAAACGGCCTCCAGCTTGCACAAAAGGATAATCATTTGTGTGGCATGCCAACTTTCCAAGTTTGGCTTCCTGTTTGAACCAAAACACCAAAAAGGGGTACCCTCAATAAGTCAGCCAAATAATTTTGAAAGCAAAAGGATAATGCTTAAACAACGGTGGTTTGCAGATGTTTAAACAAGGGAGTGGTCCAACCCTTGTAACAGGCGACCTTCCCAACTACGAATGGAGGCATTTGGATTTTTGGTTACTCAGGCCTGGGCTTTTCCACATGAGGTTCGGTCAATCCAGTCCAACTAGCCAGTAGGCTAATTTTGGAGGGAACGACCCCAGCCTCCCACCAATTCGCATGGAACCTGATAGGTCGTTTGGACCATTCTCCTTTCAAAGGGATCCCTGTCAGGTTCCACGTTGGACAGGAGGAACTGCATTTTCTGATCGCTCATGTTGACGGATCTAAGTAGAACCCGTCCCATTAGTAGGGGGTTTCAACAGTGGTCTGAATCCAACCACTAAAAGGGGACACCCCCCTATTAATCAGCCAGGGGTTTATTAATCCGGGGTTAGCATTAGGTGACCCAGTCGTGCGGAGCCTTCGAAGTCCCTTGCGGCTTGGGTGCTCCATGGAGAAACGGTGAACCCCGAATGGGCTCCAAGCCTTTCTCGACCAGGGTTATTGAACAGGGCTCCTGAAAATAATACATTTGAAACATGGCTTTTTCCACCAAAGTAAAAAGGGAAGCCACCATTTACAAGGCAATGTTCAGGTGTATAATGTAGGATCCTTGTTGAACAACCAGGAGAGATTAGATAGTTCGAATGGGGATTTCTAGTACTATAGACCATTTTGAGCCATCATGGGACAATCATCTTTGTCATGTTTTCGCCCGCCACACTACATTTCCAGACAAACCCCCACACACACACCACCAGCTGGTAGGTAGTTCATCCCTTGGGTTTTATCCATCCAGCTGGTGAAAAATCGGCGCGGCCGTTTTTGCAACAACAAGCATCACCCAGAACCGAGGAGCTGTTTCCTGGGCGACGTTCTTTATCTTCTGGGCCTTCCTGCTTGCCGCGAGCCGCCTGGACGCAGTCCTCGCCTTTTTTTTTAAAGGGGGCACGGAGCTGACCTAAGGACTGGAAATGGAGACTGGACATTCGGGGAGTCTCATAGGTGTCCTTTTGATCGGTTGGTTGGGTGAAAAATAGATGGGTTCCATTGGTTTAGATGGGGTTTCTTCCATTTACCAGGGAAACCCATCTATTTTTCCAAAAGGTCACCTGTGGGTACAGTAGAACAGTTATTCGGTTGGTCCTCTGAAGTGAGAAGCTAGTTGAATTGTGCCCGGTGAAATAACCACGTGATAAAATGGTAAATGGATTGGATTCAATCTTGGGCGTGTCAGTACGTGAATTTATTAACGTATGCACCAGATCCATAAGTTAATGGTACAATTAACTAGATCCCCCAGTGGTGCCCCTTTACCCTTTTGTTGGGGTGAGGGTTCCCCTACTAAATTTGACTACAGAAAAAAGTTGGTACCCTTATTCTAACCTCAAATCTGGAGGACCTAGTTCAATTCATAGTAACAAAATCAACCATCGGTTCGCTCCCGGGCCTAAGATGCATTCGTTGCCCTTTGGTGGCCACGAATCAGCCGGTATGTGAAGGGGAACCCCGCTGGGTCGTTCCCTTTTTTTCTTCTCCCTCTAATGGCAAAGCCACCAGAAGGAGCTTGAGACACCCACTGCCGGCCTTCTGAACCAGAAGAGGTGGCTCATGAATATTTTTTTCGGCCCCTGCTTGGGCAGAGAGACGGTTGGGGCGCCTCCTTTTTGGCAGCATGTCTGGTAGGTTCATGCCCACATTCCTTGCCGGTTCTCAGGGAATGAGTCGGACCCCTAGGAAGCATCCATGGCTTCCTTTCAGGGGACCGGCATTCCCGGAGCCCTTGACATTTCCCGGAGAACCCGGTGGATGGGGCTTGCTTCCATGAGAGTTCCAAGTTGAAGGTGCATCCAAATTGGAATTTGCGGCACCCCGTTGAGGAGCTTACCCCTTCGAAAAGGAGCGCCCAAAGGAAACGCGCCCCGTTTTTTGAGGAACCACACACATACAGAGCCCGGGTCGGGTAAGGTAAGGGGAGAGTAGCAACCATAAATGGGTGAGACTGTGGATGGGCGAACCATTTCGTACCACTTTGAAACCATGGGAAGCCATTGCTTGTTGGTATGTTCAGGCGAGTCATATTCAAGGGTTCTTAGGTGGTGCAGGATTTCGTCCATCCACAGTAGCTGCCCTTTTGATTCTTTACATGCTTTTGGCTAGACCAGACTTTGTTAGAACTTTAATTCTAGGGGTTGATTCCCCATTCTTGGGTTGTGGTGGCATCTTCTGACCTTTTTCCAGGGTCGCTCCGGGCCTAAAGGTGACCAGACCCTCTGCTCGGGGGTTTTCGAGCGAGCCCTTCAAGCCCCGGAAATTCTGCGGGGTGGATGCGCCTCGCCTTCGGCTCGGGCTCCGGCTCCGGGGCTCCGGAGGTATGTTGATCTTCATGTCCCAAGACCTGAAGTACTGGCGGGGAGCCCCGGGAGCCCCGGGGTCGAAGCGCAAAGGGATCAGCGGATCGATGCGGATCCGCGCGGTGGGGTTCGGGTTTTTGGCGCGCGCGGAAATCGGGGGGAGGTGTTCTGCGCGGGCTCGCTGGGGCGGTAAGTGCGAGGGTGTTCAAGGGTTTGTTTGTTTGTGTGTGTGTGTGTGTGTTGTGTGTGTGTGTGTTGGTGCTTTTTTCTTTTCATTCTTCGTGTTTTTTTTCTCCTGTAGGGATCCTTTTGGATTTGTTGCTCTTTTTGGGTGGGCAAAATCAAGCCACTCGTTCTGCCGGTTCTGCTTTGAGAGAAACACCTACGCGGGTCGACAGGAATATGGGAGCCCGTTTTGGGGTAGTTTTGGCGGGAGACCAAAAGATGTTTGGAACCACCCATAATATGGTGTTGTCTTCGAATGGGATATGGAACCTCAAAAGTCGGTGATTTCCGCGGGGTTTCTATTCAAAACCACCAGAAGAAGGGATACCTCAGAAGCGCCACACTCACATTTGTCCAACAAGCTACAGGTTTAATCAACCCATCACCACATTTTTGGTGAACTACATGTGCTTCGTTGAGCGGCGTAAGCAAGTCTTTAGGTGTTCCACTTGGGTCCATGACCGGCCTAGGGAAGTTTTCTGAAAAGTTGTGCCTGGAGCCTCTGGGTTGGTTGGTAGGGGCGCAGAAGGAGTCATTTGGCACGCTTTGTTCTCTGATGGTCTCTTGAATGTTGCATTCAAGTAACCCACAACCGCCATTCTCATGATCCAGGCCCCAGATTCCTTCGATACAAGTAGACTCCTTCGATACCAGTGGCGCACATAGTTTTTGATACCAGCGTCAGGTGCCTGGCGCGTCGCGGAAAAAGCGCATGGAGTATGCCCTTTTTTTGAGGGTGCCCTTGTTGGGTGCGTAAACGAAAGGTAAGGCTTCCAGGGATGGAGCCCAAACTTGCTGGTTGGATAGGCAGGAAAGGAGAATTGGAATGCCCGCGAGAAAGAGCAGCCGATTTGGTTTCCTTTACCTTGGTAGCTCCCAGCCATCCGGTTCCTTGGCTTTTTAGCTTTTTGGTGTTTAGTGGGGTTTTCCGTATTTAGCCCACTAAAAGTTAGTCACTTTGAGCGGGGGATCTGAGGGCAGCCTAGTTACGGGAATCCCACCCGGTGCATTCCGGGCCCCGCATCACTCGGACTCCTTGTCCTGCCCTACCTCTCCATGGTTGTTGTTGGGAAACATTTTACATTGTTGCTTCTTGTGTGGTTGAGTGGTTGAAATCCAAATCCACTGAACTGCTAAAAGTCGAGAATGTTTGCTCCTCTTCCAACGTCAACCAAGATGGCTTCCATTTGCGGCAGCTTTTGGTTCCCAAGGGAAGCTGGACCCAAATGGAAACAATGGTTTCCCATGGTTTCCCATGGTTTCCCATGGTTTCCCATGGTTTCCCATGATTTCCCATGGTTTCCCATGGTTTCCCATGGTTTCCCATGGTTTCCCAGCACCTCTCGCATCACATTCTTGAATCCGGGCCAAAACCCGAAGGTGGCAGCACCTCTTCACCATGAGCTTCTGGGTCTTCTTGGCGATCGTGCCGCTGGGTCCGCATGTGGCAGGGTTCCATTTTTTTGGGCTACCCCAGAGGTTTCCTTTTTTTTGGGAATCAACCACCCCTGGGTTTAGGTCTACCTTTTGGTCAAGGTGCCATTTTTGGGCTAACCCCTTCGTTTGAAGTCTACCTTTGGTCAAAACATGGAACCCTGTCGCGTGGCCGACAAGCCGGGAAAGGACACAGCTTGAAGCAAGCAACGGACTCGGCCAGTCCCGGAACTCACTTCCCGGGCCTCAGAGTTGAGTTATTTGGGCGGAGGGAAAGACAAGAGGGAGGTGCGACAAACCGACAAACCGAAGAGAGCAACGAGAGAAACAATAGAACAACGACTCTGAATGGAACAACCACTCAGACCCCTCTTGGAAAGACCATTTTGAAAACAGTTCCTGGACTAGGTCCTCCAGTAGTGCCCTTTGTCACCCCCTTTTTGGTTGGGAGGGTTCCCCTACTAAAATAGACTAGAAAGAAAAAAGTGGGTACACCTAGTGGCCTTTGTTTTTCCAATCCCCTCAGGAAGAGAGAACCTCTCCACTGAGGGTCTGTGGCTCGTCTTTTTCTCAAGCATTCGGACCCGACATGGACCCCGACGTGGCGCAAGGGTTGTCCTGTTTTCTATTGGTACCTTCGATTTGCATTCTTTCCGATCCGAATCTTTTCAATCCATCCAAAGCCTAGCGGAAACCGCCGGTGTTTGAGAACAAGGTCTGAAAAGAATGGACAAGGAATCAACCCCATAGATGTTGGCTTCCTGTTACCGGGCTCCTTAAAGGATACATCTTGCCTGCCCATTTGAAGCATGGCTTTTTCAACACCAAAATACAGGGACACCGCCATTTACAAGTGGCAATTTTCAGGTGTTTTTCATGTATCCGGATCCGTGTTTTGTAGCCAGCAAAAAGGGGGGGTACCAAGCCTCATGAAGACGTGCGGACCTGGCTCGAGCGCGCTGATGCGAGGGTTCTTTGGAGGCGAGGATACCCCGTTCTCAGCAGTCATCATGCAAATGGACAAAGAGCCTTTTCCAGAACACGGTCGTCTTCTGAGTCCCTTGTGGTTGTGAAAGGGGGGACATGACAATGAACATGATGATGTTGACAAATCTGTAGATGCAAATGCTGTCCCATGACGTTGTTTGCAATACATTGAGAATATGTTGGGACATAAAAGACCAAGACAATGTGGTTCGTCCCGGCGTTTCATGATTCCATTTTTCTCTTCATCAATCGGTTGGTCGCAATGGTGTCCTTGCAAAATGCTTTCCCACTTTCAATCATAATCTCATGGGGGCTGGGGGGGAGGGACGGGGAGGGGAGGGAGCCCAAATAAGCCCTTGTTAAGCCCTTAAGGCCTTATTTAGGGCTTATTTGGGCTCCCTCCCCCCTCCCCCTCCCTCCCCCTCAGCCCCCATGATAATCTGCCCTGCCAGGAAACCTTCCCAAGAAACATGCCAGTGCCGGTGCTCCAGACGGTTTTAGCGGGAAAAAAAACGTCTTGGGTCTGCGCACAGAGTCGAGCAAATGGTGGGATTTTTCGGGGTTTTTCAATTTTTATCCTTCCGAAATGGTGGACATTGGGGATTCATGTCGAGAGGTTCCCGAAGTTCATTTCCTTCATAGCCTTCTCCCTGTTCTCTTGTCTCCGGAAACCACGCAGGTCCTCTCTCAGTTTTAGGGCATTTTCCGCCAAGGAAGGGGGGGAGGTTCAAGCAGGACGGGGGACCCCATTTTTTTGGGTGAGCAGTTCCCCCGATTTGGGGAACCCCCACGAAGGTTAGTGGGGATCCAGGTTTGCTGAAGGGAAGTGGATTTTTCAACTCCTGCTTCGGGTCTTGGGATTGCATGTGCAGATGTTCCGAGCCCCAAACCTTCGCCGAAGCCTGGAGCATTGCCCAAGCTTTCAGGCCTGAGAATCGCCGGAGCAAACCACCAAAGAGCACTTGGGCGTCTTGTTGTAGCGGACCCCGCCCCCCCCCAGAAAAAAAGAGTGGCTTTCCTTTTGGTTTCCCTTGAAAAGCTAGCAACAAAGTGGTACCGGTGAGAATCTTCTTGAGTGCCTGGATCCCCCCTGGAATACTTCAAGATCCCCCAAACAGCTGACCTGGGCAGTTTGGAGAGGTTGCTTTAGCAGAATCCAATCTGACAAACCCTGGCATGGTTTGGTTTCGACATTCCCCGCGCAAGCGCCCTGAACCTACATCGTTGGCGCCTTTTCGAGAGGTGGTTTGTTTGGCCCAGTTTAAACCAGAATCTGGGGGCTAGGGGTATCAGGGTTTTCACCCCACAGCCCGCCACCAGGCCCCCCGCCCCCTGATGCAACCCCATAGAAGACCCCCAGCCCGACTGCGACCCCGGGCCCGTTGGATCGATCGCTCCAGTGGCCTGTGAGGTATTGTGGCATCGTAGGCGCGCAGGAGGGCGATATGATGCACAACATGTCCGACTGGGCCAGCGGCGCCTTGCCCAACTCGCTGCGGATTCTTGTTCCGGGGGGGGGCATGGCTTGCCCAACTCTTGCGGATGTTTGTTCGGGGGGGGGGAACTGTGAGACATGGGTATGGGTGAGATTTTCAGATAAGTTTTGGTCCTGGTGTCCATTTTTGTCCAGGGCAACCCATGTTGGTACCTATGTTGGACCCACGCCCAACATGCATTCGAATCTGGGGCAAGGCTTTTTCAACTTTTGGTGGACAGCTGCACAAGTAGCAAAACTAGAGGCATCCATAAGGTCCGCAATCAAAATATCCAGTGGTGTTTGGTTTATTTGGAGTTCGGGACATGAAAAGGTGGGAAAGTTGTTGGGGCACTTTAGAAATGGTCTGACAAGGGGCTTGGTCATGCTTGTTGTTGGGAAACATGTTACATTTGTAGTTTAGTGGGAAATCCCCATTTATCTGCTAAAATTTGAGAGTTTTTGCTCCCCTTCCAACGTCAACCAAATAGTGTCGTTTGATTCGTTGGTACCCCTTTTCGGGTTGGAAAAGACCAACTGAGCCCCAAGCAATAGGCCACTTTTCGGAGGTTGTTTGTGAGAGTAACCGACATAATTTCTGATTTTGCATCCTGCATAGTCTACCCCACATACATGTACTGTATATAGGTCCTAACATATATATATATATACATATATATATATATGTATATACGTATGTATGCGTACATATTCAACAAGCAAATGAGGAAGCCCCAGAGTGGGCTGTTCAAACCGTGATCTGCAGCCGAGGGATTGCATGGCAACCAACCCTGGTTGCCCCTGGACTCGATCTGATCATTTACGAGTGAACCCTTGGCCTTTCGCTCAGGTTCTAAGCGGCTCATTGGGTGTCAAAAAATTGCGGCAGGGATGGAAGACACATGGGATTTCTTGGGGCTGCTCCGGTTCCTTGTGGTTTTCAGTTGCTTTTAGTCGGTTTAGGGGTAGTTAACCCGGATTTAACCCACAAGTTAAACATTGTTAGCAGGGGAATGCAGGACAGCCCATCATTTTCGAGGTTTCTACTTGATGTTTCTTCATGGAAGCCGTTTTTTTCTTCTTCTTCCGCATCAAGCATGTGAATTGGTTGATCGAAATTGGATCTAAAACTTGATGTCGATTCCCCGAAATCACTGGGGCAACACGGGCCCCAAAGGCCAAGGGCCGACCGGTGATGCGAGAAGGGATCCCTGCAGAAAGGGAATCTGGGTGTCTTGTTTTGGCCCTTTGGAGTGGTTTATTCAGGGGACACTAAAGGCGAACGAAGTAGCTAACTCTTTTTTTATGGGGGAGGGTCCCCCATTTTAAGACAAACTCATTTTGTCTTTTTTGGGGGACTCCTTTCTGGTTAGCTTTAGAGGGAAAACCAGCCTTTTTTGTCTCAGGTGCTATTTTTGGCACGAGAGGGATCCCCAAGCGTGTCTCGGTAGCTTGTTTTGGAATTAGCGGATCTGCGGAAGTGCACGGGAAGGGCACTTTTCGGAGACCTCCCCCCCCCCCCCCTCCCGACTTTTTTGCACGTCCTTGTGGCATCACAGGCAGATATATGAGTTTGTTTTGAGAGCTCCACTTTGTGAGGGGTTTCCGTGTTTTAAGACGAACCCATTTTGGAATGGCCCATGTTGGCAGGGCTTCCTGTTTTGCGCACCCCCCCTTTTTAAGCCAAACCCAATATTCCCGCATATCGGTCCGAACGGGTCCTGCGACTTCGCCGAGGCTACGTTTTGGAGCTGATTCTGTCGATGGCGCCTCGTGCGAGTGATTCCACCTGTGCGGGGGTTCGCCCCAACTTGCCTGCTTTTTGCCATGTTCATCACAAGTGTCCAACAAGCAGTGGTTGGGGGGGGGGGTGCTGGAACTATTATAAAGTCACGGAAAAGCGGCCTTTAGGTCAATCGGAGGGGGCGATCTTACTTGATGCCTTGGGATGCTGCTGGTGACGCCGATGGCTGGTGCCGGTGATGGGGTCGTGTTTGGATCGTGAGATTTGGCGATGCGCTTGCGCTTCCCTACTTCCAAGTCCGAACAAAATATCTGGCACCCAGCGTCGTAGGATTTATCTTTAGCACGGCTCTTGGATGCAAAGGTGTCGCTTCTCGCAGGCTGATTGGCGCGTGCTCTTTGAAGCCAATTTTGCAGTTGGGGTTGCCGCATCAAGGTTGGGTGTATTATTGGTTGATGGCCGGGTTGACGCGTTGCCCGCGGGAGAGCCAACCTTTTCCACACTTTGCTGGTCGAAATGTGGGTATGGGTCAAAATTAAACCACCAAGAAGACTGCAGGTTTTGGTCCATGTTTCCACTTACTAGGATTCCATTTTTGGCACCTATTTTTGACCCACAGCCATGTGTGCTGGTGAGATTTGCGCTTGCGCAGCGAACGTGTCGGCGTCCTGGAGATGCTGATCACTTTTTCTGGGGCAACGTTTGATTCTGCACCTTGCTGCGGAGTGTGTTCTGCATGCTAGGGAAGTTGCTGGCGATGCTTGTCCTGCTGATGCCGTCGCCGGTGACGCTGTGCGTCCTTCCTCTGCGGTTTCTTTGGGACACTAGGGTCTGCCGGCTGTTGGCACACTTGCAGCATGTGGATGCAGATCAGACGGTGCTACGTGGGCATCGGCTCCTCGGCCGATGCGGCAACCAGCAAGGCATGCTGATGCCATCTGGTGGTTGCAGCGAATGCCATGGTGATGCTGAGGTTGTCGTTGGTGCCCCTGGCCGTGGGACACGCTTCCGGTTTCCAAGCTGGTTTGCCGATGGGTAGATCGATCACATCCCTTGTGGGAGCCTGATGGATCGACAGAGAGCCCAGGCATAGCGTAGCAAGGAGCCGATTCGGCGCAGGGGAAGCAAGATACCCGCAAGTCCCACTAAATTGGATGGGATGATGGGAGACCGTTGTCCGGAATGTGTGTGTGTGTGTGGAAGGTGCATTGTTCTGCGTGTTGCCTTCTCACTTGATGACGCAACTTCGAGATACGCACGGCTTCCGTGGCCAGTCCTGGTCCAACACAAGCGCAGTTGTGTCCCGCAGTGGCTGTGGGTCAAGAAAAGGTACCCAAAATGGAACCCTGGTGAATGGAAACATGGACTAAAACCTGCGGTCCCCTAGTTTTAATTTTGACCCACACCCAAGTAGCAAACCCAAAAAGGGAAGCAGCGGAAAGTGTGGCCACGCGGGAAGGTCGATTTTCCAGTTTTAGGACACCAATGTCTTGCTTGCTCCAAAGATTGGCTCGGAGGCTCGGGTCACCTACCTTGGTGGCTCCCAGCCATCCGGTTCCTTAGCCTTGTAGCTTCTTGGTGTTTAGTGGTTGGTTTTCCCTATTTCGCCCGCTGACAGTTAAGCTTTTATCGGGGGATCTGAGGCCAGCCTAGCTACATGAACCCAGTACCCCTACCCTTTCCCGCGGGGCGGGGGCGGGGAATTCGGGATGAGGCCGGAGAGCTGTCGTTTGGTTTGTCGACAAGGTGGTTGTTTTTGGGACACATGTTGCATTTTTGCTTGTTGTGATTTGGTGGGACATCGCCACATACCTGCTAAAATCTAAATTGCTGCTCCCCTTCCAAGGTCAACCAAGTCGAGCCGAGAGCCACCCTCCCACCAATCAACAGCCGGAACCTGACGTTCGAAGTTGGTCCTGGTTTGGACCAGTTTCTTGTTAAAAAGGATGGGGGAATACTTGGGTTCGTATCCGACAAGATGGCGCCCGGTTGATGTGTCCGAACCCTGCGCTAACTCACGAGGGGCCTTTTGACCCCTGGATCGCACGAGTATCTGACAATACTGTGGATGGACAAAATCCTGCACCACTTAAGAAGCCCTGGAATGATGATTCTCCTGTAAATACCAACCAATTATGGTTTCCCATGGTTTCAAAGTGGTGCGAAATGGATTTCGCATCCATCCACAGTATTATTGGTTGGCTTTTGGCGGATGAGAGCGGAACAACCCCGAATTCCCTACAAGAAACCTTCCATTTGGTTAAGTTGTTTTCTTTTTTTCCCCCCTGTTGGTATTTTAAAGGGGATCGATTTCACTGCTGGACATACTTTTTTTCATTTTCCCCAGGGGACGAACGAAAACGCAAATGGAGGAGCCAAGGCCCCAAGATCAGCATTCCAGGGTCCTGGATCGATCCGAAGTTCACATGAGCGGCGAAACCAATCCATTGGCCATTACGATTTGGTTCCACTGGGTCTGTAGGGGTTTTCCGACTTTTCTTGGTGGCGCAACCGAAGGCCATCCGGTTCAACCTAGCTTTTTAGATCTTTTTGTAGGGTTTGGTGGTAGTTTCCATGTATTTTTAGTGTCAGTTTTTCGTGTTTCGTGGGAGTCTCCGTGTTTAAGTCACTAAAGGTTTGTCCCTTTGAGCGGGGGATCAGAAAACGGACAGGCTAGTCTTCGCAACGATCTTGGTTAGAGCTCCAAGTCAATGGGTACTGGGCGCTGCTCAGTTTGTGAAGACACACTTGCCTGGACTGGATATTTCGCTGAGGAGAACATCTTTATCTACGCAGCGTCGGCTGCATATGGACTAGGTCCCCCAGCTAGGTGCCCTTTGACCGTTTCTTTTTTGGGGGAGGGTTTCCCTACTAAAATCGACAACAGAAAAAGTGCCCTTATTCTAACCTCTCTACTGGAGGAATCTTTTGTGGATCCTCTTTTTTTTTTGGCGTTCTCCCAAAAGGAACCTCCCCACGGAAAGTGTTTTATCCTCGTGGGTTGATGATCGGTGCCCCTGTCTTGGGGCTGAGTCTGAGGCCCTCAGGCGAATCTTTTAGGCTTGGCGGCTTTACGGGGTGTCCGCCAGGTTTCGTTCAGCGGGGGATTCCGTTTTTGGGACATGCCCAAAGGCATTCTGCCATTCTGGGCCCAGCTATGAGAGACGGAGCTCATCACGCCGGGATGCGCATGTCCAAGAAGAAGTTTTTGTGGGACATGGGGCTTGAGGTTGCCCTGTTCCGCGAGAAGGGAATGTCCTTGTGCAACTTGAAAAGGTCCTTGACAAGGAAGTTCCAGCGGAATTCCCTTCTCCGAGTTCCTGCCTGAGTTTTGGTGGGGTCAAGTTGCAAAGTCGCGCCGTGGTTTGTTGTCCCCCTAGCTTTCCCATGAGCTGATGAATTACCAGGCCCTTGTGCTAAGTCGTCCCCGGCTTTTTAGCGTGAAGTCAAGTTCTGGTCAGGTGAGGTTTTGGGCTCCGTTCCAGCGCTGGCAGAGGCATCTTGTGACCAATTCGCTTAGTACCTCAGTTGTTCAGTGGCACCCTTTTTCTTTGTTTTTTGGTGGCTGCCCCACTAAGAACGGTCTTCACTAAGGGTTCCCTTTTTTTCCAGGGTCACTGAACAACTGAGGTACCGTTGAGTGGTGGTTTGGATTGGCGGATTAGACTCCTCCAGGAAGCTACCTGCTCAGGCGCAGAAGGTGTAAGACGATCTCAAGGCCTGACCAGTTCCCTAAGACGGTAGCAACTCCCAGCCCCGCAGCTTCCATTTGCTGAAAAGAGTGTTTGTTTTGTTTTCCCTTGTTGGTTTTAAAGGGGATCTATTAGTACTGGACATATTTGATTTTTTTCCAGCGGGCTTAAGCCAATGGCAGGCAGTCTGTTTTTCTTCTCCCTGTTTCCTCTTCTTGCAGTGTTTTCTTGCTCCTCTTCTTTGCAGGGGGAGAAACAAGCCTACATAAGTCGTGCGAGAGATGATTTACCCTCCCTCCCACTAACATGGCAACTGAGAGCGGGTCCCTTCAAAAGGAAATCAGTCTTCCAGGTACCTCCCCCTCTGTAAACTGAGAGAAACCACACGCCATTTTCGGCTGACGTCCGTCTGAGGAGATGATATTGGCCTCCTTCCACGTGCCGAAAAAACTGGCGCTCAAGGCCCTCTATGCCCCTCAGAGAAACGGTTGTCGGGTGGGTTTGCCTTGAATATAAGTCGCCAACAAACCAATTTGCGGGTTTCCGTTTAAATCTCCAAAACGGGGGGCCCCTCAACAAAAGGACAGACCGGTATATTTTAAGGTTGGTCTTGTTATGAAGCAGAATCTGAAGATCTATGGCGTGTCCCAGAGGCCGTTGAACATATGAGGTCCCACATGAACCACCATGTTTGTTCCACCAAACCCCGGGGGAGCCCTAAATGTTCCATGTTCCGTTGGGGAAACAAGCAATTTTGACACAGGATATCCTCATTTCATTTGGGGCTCACAGAAAGTGGCAACCCATCAGTTCAGAGGATCAGGGAGCAACCTAAAACGAGATCGGCCAGGAACCTGTTTCTTGGGGGCTCCTTTGCGGGGGACGTTTTTTGTTTTTAGAAATACATACATAAATAAATAAAATTATTATGTATTATTATTATTATTATTATTATTAGTATTAGTATTAGTAGTAGTAGTAGTAGTAGTAGTAGTAGTAGTAGTAGTAGTAGTAGTAGTAGTAGTAGTAGTAGTAGTAGTATTATCTGTTTTTCTTTCTGGGGATGTTTGGGGTGAGCTTCTGGGCTGGGCCTTTCACCCTCGGTTTAGGGATCCCAAAGCTGAGATCAAAGTCCATCCCTAGTCTCCACCCTCCAGTGGTCCCTTTTCGGTATACGGAGGCGGATTCCTCTTGGAACCCAAATTCGTGGGGTTAAAATGGTTCCATCCCCAAAAAAAACCGAGCTCGGAGCGAGCGAGCCTCACAGCAACCAAGAGAGGGCGCATGTGTTCGAGGGTTTCGGCTCAGGGACATCAAGTTGAAACCCATGGCCTTCATGTGCTGAAGCGACGATGTTATTGTTTTCCTCTTTTTTTTAGGTGTTGGTTTTTGAGGGACTTTCTCACTACTGGTTTTTAAGGGACTCTGAATCTGGTCGTCATATTTCCCTGTTGGTTGTTGAATTGTAAGGCACTCTATCACCACTGGGCCTATGTTCTCGTTCTTTCCGGGGCGAAAACGCACATGGAAGATGCTGAATGCCACGCCGGTTTGGGGGGGGGGTCTGTGGAAGCTTTTGCCCAGATCACCTCCTTCTTCCAGATGTTCTTCCAGAGCCTCTGCACGAAAGGGAAGAAGTAGTCAATTCAATGGTCCTACAAAAAGTATTCCCCAGAAATAGCTCCCCTTCTTGCTTTTTTCCGCTTTTTCGGGGTTCCCTTTGTTGGCTACTAACCAGGCAAAACAGATATTTTTTGCCGGGGTCCGATTTTTCCAGCCTAGAAGTGTGGTTGGGTTTCAACAGGGGTTCCGATCATATGAGTGATGTGCTGAGTTCGGGTTTTCGTTTCGGGGGAATCGGAATGGATCATTTGACCTGGAGTTCCAGCCAGGAGTCAGTTTGTTTGGAGGGAAGCACACACCAGTGACATCTAACGTCGACTTCGGACAATTCATCAAAATATAAAGGATGGTCGGACTTGTCAGAGGTGTGTTTTGGATCATTTCCCCACTGAATGTGGGTTTTCCTGATGAATCCGGAGGTCTCAAGATATATTCGAAGGAACATGTCCACCCCTTTGATCTGAAGCCCAGAGTTGTTCAACCTGCTTGCTCCGCTTCAAAAAAATGCATGCGGCTGAGACTCGTCTCTTCCAGATGCCATTTAAGCCAATTCACGGATGCCTAGGCACCGAGATGGTTTTCACCGTTGTAACCGTTTTCGGGTGACAGATTGCCGGGTTTGTGAAGCGGCTTCTGGTTTCCAGATTTTCCGTAGACAAGTCCTGCCTGTCTACCATGTCGATTTGGGGTCAGAACGTCATATGAGTCACAATCAACACCCGGGTAAGTGAAGGTTAGTAAGGGACGATCCCGCCTTTTCAATTCCTTACATGGTTCTGGGTTCACGATTTTTGTACCAGGTTTTGATTGTCACATATATTTGGCCATATATATATATATCCCAACATTTCAAGGAGACACCAGGTTTAAAATCCTTCAGTCTGCCTCGCCATCCAACGCCCAATGGTGTTGAAGGACCGGGAGGGGCTTAGCTTGCAGTTTCACAGCTCGTGTGGTGGCTGACTCAGGAGGGTGTGTCTTTTTTTGGGGACCCCCCCAAATGGCTGAACGGTTCTGCTTTTGGGTTCCCATTAAATCAACAAAATGGGGGGGGGGGGGGGGGGGGCGGGTACTGACATATATTTATTTTTGTCCAGGGGACTTAAGCAAATGGAGGTCCAACAAACAACTTTCGACCGACCCAGGACCCCAATTTGGGGGAAGCTGAGGTTCCTTGCAGACATCGCAGAAAAACAATTAAAGAAACAAAAACAAGAAGTTGGGGCGACCGAGCCTCCAGAAAACAAGGGGATCTATCATTACTGGACATTTTTTTTAAATATTCTTGTTTCTCCAGGGGACGAATTTTCGCAACTGGAGGTCAAAAAAACATCGCCGACCGTTACAACTTTCGAGCGAGCGAGCGAGGATGTGGCTCTTCATGTTTGTGGCGAAGTACCTAGAAGCCATTCGATCGCTGCCGTACTTGTTGGGCGCCTGGCTCGTCTACGTGTCTCGGAGGGATGGAAGGGCGCGCGCCTGGAAGGGGGGGCGGGGGGGCTGGGAGTGGGGGGGAGGGGGAGGGGGGGAGGTGGAGGGGGGAAGTGGGGGGGGGGAAGTGGGGGGGGGGGAGTGGGGGGAGGGGGGAAGTGGGGGGAGGGGGGGAAGTGGAGGTGGGAAGTGGGGGAGGTGGAGGGGGAAGTGGGGGAAGATCTGGATCTGCGCAGAAGCGTGTCTGCAATTGTTCAGACTTAGGAAACAAATGGGAGAGGGTGGAAACGAGGCAGACCACAGCCAGAATAGCCGCCATCAAGGATACGAACGCCATGGATGTGTGAAGTGCGCGTGAAGGACTGTGCAAGAAGCAAGCTTGCCAGCGAGACAGCCGTCAATTTGCTCCCTCACTTGCTTTGCTGCTCAATTACCCAAACTCGACCTACTGAATTTACAGTCGCTCCTCACTTGCCCTCCCTTGTTTGGACCTCGAAAAGTGACGACCGTTTCATCGGAGCTCACGAGCAGCTTGCGCCTCTTTTCAGGTAAAACACGAGTGCCATGCTCCTCCCTCCTCCCGCCGGCTCCTATGGACTTCGCAGTTTTGTTTTGTGGCCACCAAATAGATATCCACAATCAAAACCCGGGTAGATGAAGGTTAGTAAGGGATGATCCCAGCCAGAAATAGTTGCGGAGATCCGCCTTCTATATTCTTGAAGCATGGTTCTGGGATTACGACCATCTTAATACCGGGTTTTGATTGTGACTTACTTGGAGCTGCCGCTTAAAACACACGCATCTTTAGGCCGGGTCCCTTCAGGATCCGTTCAACCACAGAGGTGCACCAAACAAGCACTCACTCAAACAAGAAGCCAAAGGCGACTCAGCAGAACCCACGGGCAACTCAACACAACATTGGGCCGCAGCCCAGAAGAATATGACATGGAAGCCCGTGATCTAGCCTTGTTGCTTGTTCTCAGGGAATGTGGGGTCATTCCCACCACCAACTGTTGCGTATTTGTGCGGGATGGAAGATTCATTCGGAGCCAGTAAAAGTCGCGGACCCGAATTGATTCCCCATTCTTTTCAACCATCGTTCTTTTCAACAACCAGCTGTTCCTCCAGGGTGTTTGGCGGTCTTTTAGAAAGAAAGTTCACTGGAAAGAATGGGGAAGCTATCCCCAGAAATCCAGCAGGTAGGGTATCCACCCCCACACTCGCATCAGCCCAGTTGGGTATCGAGACCTTGCGGGAGGACGATAACGCCAGCCGCTCGAATCGGCAAAACGTGAGGGGTGGTGGCTTTCTTCTCTTAAATTGTGCTGACATGAATATGTTGTTCCGTTGCCTTGTTGGTCCTAAGAGGACTCGATTTCACTCCTGGGCCATATTTTTGTCATTTCTTCCAGGGGCCGAGGAAGCCAAGGGATGTCTCATGTCTTCAACATACGTTTTCGGCCCTGAAGACCTGCAAGAAGTCGGACACGGGAGCCCTCCCGCTTTTCAAGCTGAGCGTTGAAGGCAGCTGAGTCCAGCGGCAAAGAGCCCTGCTGAAGGATTTGCGTGTGGTCTAAACCCACAACATGGGGGGGGGGGTTCAACTCATGCCAGGGTTTCTTAGGCGGTGCGAGAAAAAAAAAAAAAAAAAAAAAAAAACGGAGTTCGTCGCCATCAGTCCCTGGACATAGTCCCCGAAAAGAACCCTATTGCCCCCTAATAGACCCGTCGCTTTTGGCCCCCGTTGGGCTTGTGGAATCGGCCCCTGGGATTTGGAGTTGGACCGCGTCAACATCTGGCCGAACAGCTGGCGTTCCAAGAAGCCAGGGCTTCCGAAGCGTCTCCCCCTTGTGGCGGGGGGGGGGGGTGGGGGTGGGGGGGAAAAATGGATCACCTTTTTGGCCCAGGAAACGGGGGGTTTCCCTTGGGATATTTTAGTAGGCTGGACAGGCTGGACATGTAGTTGGACCCCAGGATCGGCCAATGCACTTGGACCGTGAGAACTTTTGAGCAAACATTTTGACATTTTTTCCCCAACCAGGTTTTGCTTTGGGCGGCATCTATTGTCCGTGGTTTTGAGTTCCACCTTGAGTTTTCGAGTGATGTTCGGTTGACAATATCGTTGGAGTTGCTGTTGATGCCCTAAGGGAACGACTTGAAATTTGTTGTTGAGACATGTTAGTGGCAAACAAAGAGTCTGGACTTTCTCTGGCCAGCTCACTCAGGAAGAAAGCCCATGGTTTGTGGTTGGTTTTGCAATACGAGAACCACTCAAACCGGGGTAGATGAAGGTTTGGGGGGACGATCCCAACCACAAATGGGCGCCTTCGCCGTCTCACTTCTTTCCATGGCTTTCTAAAGATCGACCATGTGGCTGTGGCTCAAAAAGATGTGGCCCCAAAATGGGCTCTAGGTAAATGGAGCCAAAGACCAGACTCTTTTTAACTGTCGCTCTGAAAGATTTGGAGCCACACGAAAGGTGAACACCGGTTTTTTGACAAAAAATCGGCGGAGCGGCCGAGGCTTTGACCCGGAGAGCGCCCTGGTCTTCAAGGCGCTGAAGTGGGCCTTGGGAGACCGCCTGGTCTTCGAGTACAGCAGCAGCCGCTCGACTCGGAAAATTCGTTTTTTTTCTTCTTCTTTTTCCCCTTGTATTTTTTTTCTCTTTTTGGTTTCGGGCGTCCGGGCGTGGAGGCGGCGATTTTTTTTGGGCCCCGAGTTTTCAGACAGGTTGGTTGGGGGTGTTTTTTTTTGAGTTGGCAAGTTTGGCGGCCGTTTTTTGGGGGTGGTTTGGAATTTGAAACCAACAGCGGGTTTAGGACCCCTAGATTGACACAGGGGGCGGAGGATCTTACGATTGTTGGAACCTTAAACGGGCGCGGTACCTTTATTCAAACAAGGCAGACAAAGGTCGCCCACATATGTTTTCTTTGTAGCTAGTCAAAGGCAACCAAAGGACACCCGCCCAATTCTGCTGAGTTGTTGAGATATCTATCCGCTTGAAAGGGTGGTGTTTAACCAAGCGCCGCGCGGCCTTGTTCTTCTCTCTCTTTTTTTCTTGG